CAGGCTAAAAGTTTGATCTAGTGCAAACCAGACCAGGCTGAAGGGGCTAACATTATACATAGGATGAAAAGCTAAATCTGCCTGGCATCACCCAGGGATAGGATCTCTTTCCTCACTGCCAGACCAGGGGACACACAGCTTGACTCAGTGACTCACAGTTCCAGGCTCCTCAATCCCCTCCTTCCTGACTGTAGGCCAACCCTGTCACTATGCTAATTCGTGATCTGCAGAGGGTGGAAAGTTCAACACAGCTCAGCCTCGTGTACTGAAGTCTTACAGCTCCCTGTGCCACCCAAACTGCTGCTTCGATGAGCAATTCCCAGCAGGACAAGACATGTGGCCCAGCGAGGCACCAAGCCAATGATGGAGCTCCAAGGGCTCACCTTGGGGGTGGAGAGGCTGGTGCTCCCTGTTCAGCGGCACGATGGGAGGAGACATCTGGATGCCAGCTTTGTACCACAGCAGGAGCAGGAGGCGAAGGATGGCTCTGTGAGCAGACACGTGGAAGCCTTCAATACCAGGCTACGGAGGTGGGTTCCTGGTGCGCTGGAAAGGTGGCTTCCACGGAAGAGGGAAACATTCAGGTCTGCTCAGGACAACTGGCAAGGTGAGAGGGGGAAATGTCCCCTTCTGTGGCACAGTACCCACTAAACTGTGGGGCTCCAAATTCCCCCAGCCTCAGGGACTGGCAGCTCAGTCCTGCTTGGGCTTTTTCCAGGGGTACTGCTGAGTCCCCTCCAGATCCCCTTTCCGAGCACACGCTGCCCCTTCCCCTCCGCCCGCAGCACTTACTTAGCCAGCTGGATGAGGACAATGATGGTCCACCGGCCCATCTCCCCCCACACCCTGGCTGTCCCCATCTCTGCAAAGACCTCCACGCATTCTAGCACACTCAGCCAGGTCAGCAGCTTCTGCTGGGGCAGCGACTGCAAAACACAGAGGGGAGGAAGGGGACAGGATGCAGGTTCTGCTTGGGAGTTAAACAGGGCAGAAGTACAGCCCAGTGTGGTGGGACCCTCAGAAATAAGCACAGGATGGGCTTGGAAGACACAGCCCCAGAATCAAAAAGTGGTTTCTCCACTGCAGCAGGAGTCTATGCACAAGCCCACTTCTCCCAGAGCAGACTGAGACATCACAGTACCACACACAGCACCCAGAAACAGGGAAGCCATCACGGCTGTATCTTGGATTGGACAGCAGGACTGTCTCCTGTGTTGTGGCACTGTGTCCAAACTCCACAGCAGAACTCTTTCCTTCTCCTTGTCCCAGAGCTGGATTACACAATGAACCTCCTCCCTTGTTAGAGCTGATGAGGGTGTATGCTCAGAGTAGAGGGAAGGAGACCCAGATTCAAGCCAGAGTGAATGCCTGCTGAATACAGCATCAGTCCAGGTTCCAGGCATGAACCCCAAGACAGCGGATGCTTTTCCACTCTAGGTCCCTGCTTCCCACACAGGAACTTGCTGGTGCCGTCAACCACAGGACTAACTCATTGAAAAGCACCAATAAAGACAATACAGCTGAAATTCACATCAGCCTTTCACAACCAGGGAAGCAAATCTTCCACATTACTATTTGTTACACGCCTGTTGGTCCAGCCAGAGAGCTGCCTACACCCAAACCCACACAGCAGGCAGGCTTGCAACACAAGAGGCCTGTCTGGAAAAAAATGCCCTCCTCCTCATTCCCCAAAGGGTCTAACAAGTGCTGGGAGCCAGCCTGGGGCTCTCGCAAGACAGACACAGAAGCAAGGCGCTTACATTTGGTTTGCTCAATAGCATATGCCAAAGAAAAGTCTAAGGGACGGAATCAGAGCTTCAGTGCTCCAGAGCCACTGCTCTGGCACAGCAACAGTTATTTGGCAACACCTTTGCCCAGCTCAAGTTCTGAGCTTCTCAAACAAAACCAGCAGAGCTCTTAGTGCAAATCAGAGGCTGATTTTTGTGGTCCAGGGAGTGTTCTGGCCACTCCTCCAAGCCAAGAGCTTGGGAACATCTGCTGTTTACCTGCCTTCAGATGTTGCCTCCGGCCTCTACATACCTGACAGCAGAGAGACCACAGCAAAACCTATTAATTTCTACAGACACTCCCTGAACTGTGCTGCAAGGAAGAAAGCATGTGGCCCAAATCCTCCTCCGACACACTGCAGCCTTACCACGGGCAAGCTCTGCTGCAGCTCCTTTCGGAGAATCCAGTCATTTAATAGCACCAGCAGGTTGGAGGCAGAATACACTAAAAAAGGAAAAGAAGAACACCGCAGTTATGGGATGTGCAGAACGCAAACCAGCCCGGCACTGCTGCCTCTTCCCTGGGCGGGGGGGACGAGGGCAGAAGGGCACCAAGATGCCCAGATC